TCAGAGATCGTCTTCATTTAAGGATTCAGCCGCGGTTAGAAGGACGTTTCCGGCGGCCGGAAGTCGGTCCGGAGGAAGTGACGCCTCCGCGTCGCGCATAACTAATGGTGGGGCACCCGGTGGACCCCTTGCTGCCTTCTTCTACACACACTCGAGGCCGCCGCTACTCGTTTCTACCTGTCGTCTTGACATTGTTGCAAGGTGTACACGAAGCACGTCACTTCGAATACTAAACGCACACCTTGTCCATTTTTCTTCTTCTTTTTGTTTGCCAGAAACGCTCGAACCTTAGGTTAATTGCTCGCGGTGTGTAGTATCGCCGAAAATTTCAATATTTAACGTACAAACTGTACGACGTAACTAAAGTAAAGAAAGATAAAGTGTTAGAGAGACGGTACAAGGTCCTTATTTAATATCTGCTAATAATTCTATCACGCTACCGTCGAGGTTCAACGACCATTCTTCTCGGAACCTGAATATCTTGGGCTGTGTGAGAGAAAAAAAAAAAAAGGTAAGAAAAATAGCACATCGAGAGGGATCATCGACTGACTGGGGAGATAGAAATAATCACTGGGTACCGGTCACGGTTACAAGAAGTGGCTCACCGCGGGATTAACAATCGGTGCACGCGTGAATAGCCCCGTAGACAGGAATCAGCGATCGTTCCTTCCGATCATCGAGAACATCGGCCACGTAACAGAAACATTAGCAATTTGACGCCTCGTAATCGCTTCCGGTCTTTAAGGTAGTACAGACGCACGTGACACGGGCCCAAGATAGCAACGTAATCGATCGATATCTCGCGTCGGGGCAGATGGCGAGGAATAATAAGAATAATGGACGCCGCCGGTGACGGTGCACCTGTGGATGATGTACGCGCAGAAATGTCTTCGTCTACGTTTACGTCGGCGACGCAGCCGTAAACGGAGGACGTTCACCGGCGGCGAACATTCGCAGAAACCGTCGAAAAACAACAGTCATCGGAGATAATAGATTTCGTCCGGCGTGAAAGACTCACCGAAGAAAGAGACAGACAGAGAGAGAGAGAGAGAGAGAGAAAGAATCGGCCGGCGAGACGAAGATAGAGAAGAAGAGAAAAAGAGGCGCTCGAAGCCGTGACAAAGGAAAAAAACGAACCGGCGAGAATTACTCCCGGACGCTCGTATTAAAATGAAATCATCGGCGGAGGAATTAAAGCTAAGGATCGCGCGCTGTTCGCGAGGCATTATGGAACGACGACGGTGAACTTTGATGCTCGATCGGTGTAACACGACATCGGGATGCCGTTACTCTTGCCTCTATTTCGAGAAACAGGACCATTAACGATTGGCTTCTTTTCCCCTCCAGTTGCTCTAATCGCGGTAATCATGATAAACACCTTGTTTCTTTGTCGAAGGGTTAGCTGTGTGTACAGCCGTTCCGCGAGAATTCATTACGGTCGTAAGCAGCAACTTCCTGCGATTACCTGTTTCTTCGTCTCTCCGCGAAAGCGACAAAACGACGGATAGTAGAACGACCGTAAAAGGGCTGGAAACGATTACCAGCGGTGTGGTTCACGAAACGAAACGGGGGGGACGGCCAAGGATACAACACACGCGAGCGACAATGAAGCGATTGTACAGACGAACGAAAGTTTTCTTGCCGGTTTTATTAGCCCGGCCGATGTAATGGGCAACATCAGTCTGTTCGTGCTAGCGAGCACGATGTCAATGACTTGAACGCGAGGAGCCTTGACCGCGAACTTCTCTCACCTCCTCGGTGAGATCCTGTACAAATTACACTTAACCGGCCTTAGCCTCTCTCGTCCAGTCGACTGGCTGGCGCGTGAACATTTTCAAAGGTACCGCCGTTCCCTCTTCGCCCGCTCGAATCGTGGAGACGAAAAAAAGAAAAGGAAGAAAAAATGGCGAATTACTCTGCCTCGTTGGGGACTACGATTAACGAGCACCGATCGCGCGATTTATTGTCATAATTTAATCGATCGTAAATCAACCGGCGAATAGAAATTGTTTCAACTTCATTGTCATTTTCTTCTGATAGCGTCTGGTCTCTGCTGTCTTTCTCCGTTCTAGAAATGGAGAACCGGATGGACTCGCGATATCTACGAGGATGCTACTGAACTGCATTACCGATGCGGTACGGTGTACAGCTGCGGTTCTCGAGGATTACATCGAAAGTGGTTTGTACGCGTTCCCTTTGGTTTCACTCTCGACAGCCGCCGAGTCGTGACTATCGCGCCACGAAGGGAGACGAAAAGCACACCTTCCCTTCGAGAACATCGTTTCCTGTGTTCTATTTACCGTGGACGTTGAGAAACTCTTGAATTTAAAAAACGAATAATTTCCTGCATTACGTCACGGTTATTTACATATATGTACATATATTACCGGTTCACGAATGATCGAGAGATCGTTAATCCCGTTACGCATAATTTTCGTCAGTTTTATATCGTCGAACGGTCCTCAGTCTCGTTTACCTGTCCCCGTGACAAGATTACGCTGTTTCTAAAAGAAAATACAGCCAGAAGTCAGGATACTTGGAAAAATTGGCGGATCGTTCTTGTAATCGTAAAGCGAAATCCTTGGCCACCTTGGGAACGCTCACTTCTTCGTGGTCGTCTTCCACGTATCACGCGTTTCTTCCGTGAACTTTACTACCAGCCTGCTCGGCTTCTCTATCTTTGTTTCATCTCTTCTCGCCTCGCGGCATTTTCTTCGAGGTTATCCCGGGGTTCGATCGTGTAGCCACGCTTGTGAACTCCTTTTTTCCCTCTTCCACGGTCTCCCTGATCCTCGCAAGAAATCTATTTCCTGCGCCGTTGAAATATCACCGTGACTATATACCGTCTAATACGACCATCATTTTTCTAAATAACCGTCGAAAATATAGCGAGGTGGTAAATTGGAGCATCGAGTAGCTGCACCGATTGATGTAACGACGTGTAACGAACATTTATAGATCCAGGAAGATTTAGTGGTATCCCGAAGAGCCACGAGTGGAGTTTTAGCGAGTCTACATGAAGCATTTCTATTGGAAATGGGTTATGAGAATGAAATAGTCTTTTTATCTTGTGATGTACTATTTATTGACGGACTCGGAGGAAACGTCTTTACGCTTTTGAATGTCCTAAAGGACTATTGGCACCCAAAAAGAAAGCTGGGGTCCCCTTATACCTAGGAACTGTTTACTTTATGGTATCGCAGTGTGCAGTGCGTGACTCGAAGATGGACACCAGACACACCTGGTGGAAGTCTTAGTACCTTTGTTTAAAATAACGCGGAGACACTTTTGTCCTCATTTGATTATTTCCATAGGGTGCTGTTAGAAATAATCCAACAATTTCTCCTTTCCCAATTAAAAAAAAAAAGAGCGACATGCGGGACTTTACATTTTTCCATCGAAACGAATAGTCCGTACGATCCTGACTGAGCTTTCAAGTCCTCGTCTTCTCACGTTTCTGTCGCTTCGCTTGTCCGTATAAACTTTGACGCTATATATTTCTTCCACCGACTATACGCTACTGAAAACGTTCTCCATTATGTATTTCCTCTGGCAGAAGATTGCTACAGTGGTCAGTAAGGTCCGAACGAAGATCTCCGATTTACACGGTAAACACGGGGGAATCTACGTGGCTTGCTAGAGTCGAATACTAAATTTGTCACGATATATCGTCTTTTAAACGTGCAAATTACCGCGGTGCACCTTGTTGTACCTGGTTATCTCGAGTGGCGGTGTCGTGGTGGTTTGCGCGCCGGTATATCGAGGGCTCGGTCTTGCTTCCATACGTCGTTTCGCGCAGCAGAAACACGGCGAACAGCAGCAACTCGCGCGAGTATCTTTATAGCGTCACCGATACGAAAAGGGCCGTGGTTGACGTTCGTTTCAGGATCGTGTGGCCAAGCTAAAGGGCCCGACGAAGAGTCCGCGCATTAGAATACTCGTGACCAGTCCCCGATTTGCATTCCTTCGCGAAACCAAGGTCTTCTCTCTATCTATCTCTCCTTCTCCTCCTCCTCCTTTTTTCGCGCGTCTACACGTGTGTGTGTGTGTGCGTGGAAGAGGGACCGAGAGCGGTGGAGAAAAGGGCGAGGGCATCCGCTGATGAATTCTCGGGCTCGCTGACGTTTCTTCTGCGCCCTGACCGATCGTTTCTTCGAAGCTGATGCGGCAAAAGCAGCCCTTACGCGGATCGCTCTCCTCCAACCTCAGCTCGAGAGGGGAACGAAACGGTGGAATGTCCGTGGAGGTTTTTACCGTGACGCGATTCGTCGCGGCGTACCTCGGGCCGCGGGCCTCGTAAAATTCGCGTTTCACAGCGCGTTCTGGAACACGCGTTCAATAGACAGACGCCTCTCGGCTTTAGCTGCGAAAAGCCACGTTATTTATAGATCAACAGGCATATTTCTACGATCTTACGGAATTACTTATAATAAGAGCTGTACAACGTAATCTCGAACATGCTATTACGTCCTCGGCAGACTGAAAAAAATGTACAGGCGATGTAGAGAGAGAGAAAACGTAGAGCTCTAACTAACCGATATAGAGTGTCTATATAGAGGGATATATTTTTTTTTCTTCGAACACGTCGTGTCTGAAGGGTTAAAAAAACGATCGCTGGCGAATCGATTCCGATAGGTGATTGGCTTCTCCAAGAAGATGCACCGGACGGAGAGGAA